AACAGCTTCATTGATATATCATTCACAAACCATACAATTCATCCATTTAGCAATACAATTTGATGCTTTTTAACATATTCACAGAGCTGTGCAATCATCACCACAATCAATTTTAGAATGTTTTTATCACCCTCAAAAGAAAACTCATAACTATTAGTAGTCACTCCCATTCCTCCTTAACTCTCCAGCCCTTAGCAATTAATAAGTTACTTCTGTTTTTATGGATTTTCTTATTCTTGACATCGTATACAAAGGAAATCATATAATATGTCATCTTTTGTGACTGGCTTATTTCACTTAGTATAATGCTTTCAAGAGTCACTCATGTTGTAGCATGTATCAGTAAGTACTTCATTCCTTTTTATTGCTGAATATTTTATTATATGGTTATATCAGAGCAATTTTTAACTTTTTCATCTCATGGCACACATAAACTAATTACTAAAATTCTGTGGCACACCAAAAAATATATGACATTTTTTGCCCTGGCCAGTGTGGCTCAGTTGTTTGAACATCATCCCATGTACTGAGAGGTTGCCCATTCAATTCCCTGTCAGGACACATGCCCAGGCTGTGGGCTAGATCCCCACTGTGGGGCATGCAGGAGGCAGCCAATTGATGTTTCTCTCTTTTTTTAAAAAAAATTTTTTTAAATATATTTTATTGATTTTTTACAGAGAGGAAGGGAGAGAGATAGATAGTTAGAAACATCAATGGGAGAGAAACATTGATCAGCTGCCTCCTGCACATCTCCCACCGGGATGTGCCTGCAACCCAGGTACATGCCCTTGACCGGAATCGAACCTGGGACCCTTCAGTCCGCAGCCCGACGCTCTATCCACTGAGCCAAACCGGTTTCGGCTGATGTTTCTCTCTTGATCATGGATATTTCTCTCCCTTAAAAAAAAGTAAATAAAAAACATTAAAAATAAATAAATAAACATACACACATACAGACACACACATATATGTTATATTTTTTGCTGATCTGACCAAAAAAAATAGGTATAATTTTGATTCATTCACACCAGATGGAGATTGTTGTGTTGGCTGTTTTAATTTTTTTATTTGACAGTCTAACGGAAAAAGAGGTCAGTGCCCCTAATAGTTGCAAGTTTTAAAAATTCTTGTGGCACACTGGTTGAAAATCGTTGTTATATCACATTGTACTTATCCATTCATCAATTGATGGACATATGGTTGTTTCCACTTTGGGGCAATCCTATATAATAAAAGCCTAATATGCTAAGTGTCCAACTGTTCGACTGGTTGCTATGAAACACACCGACCACCAGGGGGCAGATGCTCTGACCTGTAGGTTAGCTTGCTGCTGGAGTCTGGCCAATCAGGACTGGGCAAGATGGGCCGGACACAGCCTGGAGCCCTCCCACGGTTCCTCCCCAGCCCCAATCACGCACCGGTGCGAGGGACCCCCCCGTGCACCAATCTGTGCACCGGGCCTCTAGTTATGAATAATGTTGCAATGAACATACATGTATAAATTTTTGTGTGATGTATATTTTGATTTATGTTGGGTATATATCTAGGAGTAAAATTGCCAGTTGAATGCATTTTACCTTACTGTTTTCCTGGTTAAGACTTCTGCCATTGTATTTTCTTTTATGAGAGAGAGAGAGGGAGGCTATAATTTAGGTGTCTTGTCTGAAGTTATTTTTTCTTGGCAGGGGGGGCGGGGGGATACGTTTATTAAAGCTGAAGACAGTGAAACAAGGAAGGGCCTAGGAGAGAAGAAGCAACAGGAGAGAGAGACTAGGCAGGGCTGCTGTGGCTCTAGAAATGTTATGGGAAAGAAGTGAGTCAAGGTGGGGCTGCTGTTGGTTCACTGGAGAGTCAGAGGAAAGGGGACCTTGGGAACAGGTTCAGGGGGTTAGCCTGGAAAGAGCTGCCGCTGCCCATTGCTCCCGATTGCAAGTCTCAGGAGGTCCCTTAGAGTTTAGGAGATGTGTGCCTGTCGGGGAAGCAGAGGGGGAGGAGAAAGGCATGGGCATGCTCCCCGAGGGAGAACACACATCTTGCCTAAAGTTCTCGAAGGCATGGCAGAATTAAATGATCTTAGGGTTGCAGTGATGGTATCAAAGTGATTGGGTCAAGATATCCCACAAAGAAAAAGCTTACTGGCAAAAAGGTCTAGCCTAAGTTGAGCTGTATACTTGAAGAGGAGGAGAAAGAAGATGGCATTCTGTCAAGGGCAATAAGAGAAGCAAATGGCCAGTGATTGGGCTGAGTATGGAGTACCTGGGGGATAAGTAAGAGGTAGAAGGTGAAGCTGGAATAATTTGTTGGGAATCACAACCTCAAGTGTTAAAGGACTAAATTTTTTATAGCTTTGGGGGAGCCATTGGAGACTGTGGTCTAGGGCAGTGGTCGGCAAACTGCAGCTCGCGAGCCACATGCGGCTCTTTGGCCCCTTGAGTGTGGCTCTTCCACAAAATACCACGTGCGGGCGCGCACGTACAGTGCGATTGAAACTTCGTGGCCCATGGATAGAAGTCGGTATTTTGGGGAAAAAGCCACACTCCAGGGGCCAAAGAGCCGCATGTGGCTGCGGGGCTGGATTTTTCCGGCGGTGTGAGGGAAGGTAGCGGGCGGAGTCCGTGGGAGGGGAAGAAGGTGGGGAGGAGGCGGAGGGGGCGGGCACAGGGACGAAGGAACCGACGGGCGAGAGGAGGCGGGGGGGCCGGATCGGATAGACGGTGGCCGACGTGTGGGTTTTGGCCGGCGGACGTCTGGGGGATTGGGAGGTGGTTGGTGTTTGGCTGGGAAGAGAGGGCGGCGCGCGGGAGAGGGAGGCAGGGGA